TAGCCAAGGAGCGTTTCAAGTCAGATGCATCAGGAACTTGCGGCATGGCTCAGCATAAGCACATATGGCAAACCCACATATATATATATATATATATATATGTATACATATATATATATATATATGACACAGATATGTACGTGTATATCTATGTATATAGTATATACAGAGATAGGTATACGTGTATATTATATATATATGTATATATATATATATATGTATCATATGTATGTGTATACATATATACATGTCTATCTCTCTAACCTATATATATATATATTATATTATACGTATACTGTTTGATTGTAGCCAAAGGGATGGTCGGCCTGGACCTTGTCATGCAGCTCGCGACGGATCTGCTCTACATCCTGGTGAGGGTTCAGGATTTGGGGCTGGGTGGGTGTGTTTGGCGATTTAAGGCTTAAGCCTAAGCTGTAGAGCGCCACGGTTCAGGGTTCAGGATGCAGGGCTACATGCACACGGTTTTGGATCAGACCGTGCCGCAGATGTGCAAAAGATAAAGGGGAAGCCAGGGCTGTCCTGCCTAAAGGGTCAGTACCGTGTCATCCGGCTGCGAACTTCGCCAAGACAGTCAACTAGTGTTAGTGATGCGCAACCGCATCAACCCTCTTTGATGCTGTATCCATGATGGCTTCAGGACCTGAAGATTTTCCTATCTTCTGGCCTTGCCTCCAGCATGAGGTTGCTGATGCCGTGGTCGCCGGCGATTTTCGCAACCTGCGGCTTGCGGTGCTCGGTTCAACACTTATAAAAAAAAGCTCGACGGTATCTCGCTGGTGCATTCAACCCCCAGCCATGCAGAAGGGAATCTTTGTAAGGGTCTGAAGCCCACGAGACGAGAGGAGATTACTCCAAATAAGGCCGAGTGTTCACAACCTCCAAGCTCCGCAAAAAAGCAAGCTTCCAGTAGTAGAATACGACGAGCATCTTCAGCTTAAAACGCGCATCCTGATTGAAGTAAACTACTCGGGCCTACAACTCAGACATCCACTTACTCCACATCCGTATGGAAGCGCCCAAACCCCTCAACGTGCAAACACTCCAGACTCTTGAAACTCAGTTTCACTGGACAATAACAATGGTCCTGATCCTGATCCAAATATTGTCATGGTAAGCATACTTGCCCTAATCATATAGTAGAGGATCCGTCCACAGAAGCCAGAGCCTGTACCGTGCCACACATGAAACCACACCACACACTGCCCTAAGCCGCACCCGGAAGAGCCGCATTAAGTCAAACCAAGCCTCCTCCAGCCCATCCCGGTCCGAAATCCTCCATCCTCGTGCGTCTACACCCTGCACCCGAAATGCGAAGCCGGAAACCCTAAACCCAGCATCTCAAACACGGCCGGCTACCTTGGCCATCTCCTCTGTCAGCTGCGCGAGCGCCTGCAGCAAGAGCTGCGGTGCGATGCCCAGGCGCCGGCCTTGGAAAGTTTGGGGGATTCCCGGACATGAGTCTGTAACTGTACTGGTATGCAAAGTTGCATACGAGTTTGCAAGCCAGGTTTTTATACGCTCCCTATGTCAAAGGATATTGGTTTGGCGTTGGCAGAGGCCCGAGCGGGGCTACAACTACATTATGTGGACCGGGATGGCCGTGAGCCTTGTGGATTTAAGCCGTTGCATGGCTCTGTGGTGAAGCTTGTTCGAGTAGGGCAAGACTTGATATGGTTCAAGTTTTGGTGTAGCGGTGACCTTTTGATAACTTGTCGGTCTCAGTTTTCAAATTGGCCATAACGAGTCTAAAGACGACGATGGTGATGAGGATGATTCTGGTCGCATTTGCTGCTCTCGGTTGCTGTGTATGGTCAATACCACTCACAATGCTTGCCGTTCGGTGCTCTTCTGTTTTGTGTTTGCTCCGCTTCGTCTTGCATTCGTTGTGATCATCGTCGTCGCAACCGAAACATTCGCAGAGGAACCACACACTTCTTTCTTCCTTAAATCTGCAAATGTTGGCCTACTCTTGACTTGAGCCTTCGCAGAAGCCTCAATGCCAGACAATTGCTGATTGTGCTCCTTGATGCGGCCCGTTGCAATATCAGAGTCAGCTTGCTCTGAGGCCATCAAGATGCATGAAGCGGCGAAACCCTGAAACCAACATAGCTGCTCCTCACCTCGCGCCTTCTGAACAGCCTCTCTTTTATTGCGAGACTTGCCGGCGCTTAGGATGTGAAGCAGCCAGGGCGTGATGCTGCTCATGCCCTTGTTGCGCCCTTGTGAATAGCACGCATGATGTGGCTCGTGATCCTTGCTGGACCAAACACATCTAAACAATGCACAGTGGCGAGGCGGTGATGGTCTCTCTGGTCCTTGTCACCACACTGTGTTTCGGCTTTGCATCGCGCTCGATACATATCGGCCACTCATCTTTGGTCCCAAGACAAGTGTGTGCCAAGGATCCTCACTGCACTCCCAAGCCCACCGACTGCACTCTTTTTGGTGCTGCTCGCTTTGTGCAGGGCCCGGTCGTGGATTTAGGCCCCTGTCATTGCAAAGGTTTCACTTCTGAAAACAAGTCAACTCGTCGAAATGGTCGCGGAGACCTCACAATCTACATAGGCAATACCTGCCAAAGATGCGCTCTTTAAAAGACCCTTGCCGGACCAAACTTGAACAAAGGCCACAATCTGACCTCTCAGCGCCCAGCATTTCTTGATGGCTTGTGCCTCGGGATCGTTGCTTGAGGCTGCCCTTTTGCGCAAGGAAGCATGGCCCATGAAGCTGGAGAGTGCGCGAACAAAGGATCAGCATCATTTTGATGATGGTGTTGATCACGATGATTATCAGCATCATCGCCATCACCCTCTTCATCATACTTAACTTAGCAGTACATCAGCACTGCCATCGGCTGCCATCGTAAGGAGAATGGTCTGAAATTCCTGAAGCCTTTGCAGACACAGTGAAACGAGACTGATTCTGACCAGGATTTTAGCTTCATGTCAAGCACCGGATACGGCAAAAAGGTTGAAGACATAAGATCTTGGATGAAGCCCATGCGCAGAAGACTCCTCCTGCCACACATGCACTGCGACTGCTTCACCTGCTCTGCAACTGGAGTCTCAGTGCAAACCGACTCACAGTAGAGTTGCCGTTTGAACCCGTGGGAAATACGAAGCGACTGCGGTTTCCTCAAGCCTGCAGAGGCATCTTGCACCTGTGCCCCTCGGGGCCCCTGCCAGTGCCGAGGCATTGCGCTCTGCTCCCGCCCGCCGCACTTCCTCCAAAGCCGACCTCGACTTCCAGGTTGAAGGTGGCCCTCTGGCTTCATGAAACGGCTGAAAGTGCAATTGAGTTATGATATGTTGCACCGTTACAGCATATGTCACTGTGACATATTCAGTCTTGATATAGATTTCCCTTTTGCACTATACTGTATTATGCACATGAAGCGTTGGAAGTTTACAGCAGAAGTTTTAGGAACCAGGCTTTACAGCAGCTGCTTTCGGCACTAAAGATAGGGAAGCAGCCAATGGAACATCTGAAATCCTGTACCGTTTTTCTACACATGGCATGCTGGCAGCAAGGGTCTCCTGCGGTGTAACGCTTACATTTGACTACGTACGTCGTTCCTGAAATTCAGCATCCACACCACTGCTACTCTGAGTCTTACTGTGAGCATCGCTCGTGAGTACCATCGTTAGCTTGAACGGTCTCGCTGGCACCGTTGTTTCACTTGATTTTACCGTGATGAGGTTCCAAGCCAGCGATTTCTGCTAGGGCAGTTAAGAAGTCACAGGAGAACACTTCAACAAGCCAGCTCTAGTCCGGTGAGAGCTTCATCGACCCTCCGAACTGCACACACGCGCCTTTCTGCAAGAACATATTGTAAGAGCCTGCACACGTACCCGACAAGAGTACTACAATCTCCACGCCATAGACTACTTAATCGGCTACTGTCTGGATGAGGCCTGGGATCCCACGACCAAACCTCGACGGTGAGCTATGGAGGCTGCAAGCCCTCGATGTCGCAACACTTGAAGAAAGCAGAACAAGGCAGGCAAGCAGTTGGCTGTAACAAACACGAGCCATGAGTCACCATCACAAGTAGCAGCAGCATCAATGTCATCATCACCATCCTTATCATACTCATAGAGTGAGTATGCTGCTCGGACTGATAGTACCGCGGCTGCTACTACAGCCACTGATGCTACAGCCGCCAATGAACTACACCAACCCCTAAATCCCAAGGCGCGAGCTCGCGAACCTCCTCGGAGTCCAAGAGGTCCTGCAAGAAGTCGGGCTCTGAGCTTTTAGCGTGTTGAGCTTTCGGTTTAGAGCTTAGGGCTTGGGGTTAGGAGCTTAGGGTTTAAGACCCCGGACTAGGTTTGGGTTTGGGGGTGCTTTGGGTTTGGATATCTCCACAACTCTAGCGCCATATCTTAGGCTGCGTGAGCGGTATAAGTCGCACAATGCTACGAGGCTGACCACATGAAGTTTGCAGTGATATGCCTGTCACTGTTTCACACGTCTCTTGAACTATTCTTGCGTATGCCATTGAAGACCTTCTGCTCCCTCTGCTTCCTTTGTGCTTAGTGTCGCACATGCAGTTGTTACTGCAGCTGCAAGTTGTCTTGCTGTTGTCGCTGCTGCTGCTGATGTATATGTTGTTGCCAGTTTTTGCTGTTGTCTATTTTGGGGCAGGATGCTATGGTTGCTGTTCCGTTGCTGTTGCTGCACCTGCAGGTTCTCATGCCGGTGCCGGTGCGGCTGCAAAAGATCTTGTCGCTCTTGTCGTTGCAGCTGTTGTTTTGGTGGAACTAGTGGTTCCATGCTTGCGGTGGGCTCGCCGATCGTTTCTACTATGCGTACTGCTACTAGAAGGTATCATTGGCAATTTGCACTATTCAAGTTTGCCTGCATCTACTGACAATAGTGGTACTATTCTTCGCTAGTCTGGCTCATGGGAACTGTCTTTTTTTTATATTGTCGTTGCCGTGTTGACCCTGATCAAGACAGGTGCTGTTTGCATACTATCACTTTGAATGGACTATAAAGCAGATGTGGTACGAGTCTGGGTGCAACAAAGACTGTAAATACCAACGATGGCCAGTCTGGCTGCTCGCCTTACTGGTGCTGTACTAGTATTGTGACCATAAAGGGCAGCGGGACTAGCATCCAATGCACTCGAACAAACTTACTAAAAACAGGTGTGCAGCCATGGTTGCCATCGGTTATTCCAGTTGCTGTATGGCGTTTGTATCCATTCGTTCTTCTTGTTACTGGGGGTGGTGTGTCGTCGTAGTAGTACTGAAAACTGTCGCAGTGTCCCGGTTTGCAATAATATTGATCATAATGGCAGTACAGCGGTAAGTTGGCTTGGCGGCTCTAGTTCTAGGATCTCATATGACTCATATTGTCCGATTGGGCGCTTCTTGCGGAGGGTTTTGCTCCATGATCATCTTCATAAAGGCTCTGCAAGCAAGCTTGCCGTCAAACCCATGTAATAGGATCCCTTCCTTCAGAATGAATATCGCCAGAGGCTCCAACGCAAGATAAGTTCATACCCCCTGCGACCAGGACGCCTGGCAAACCGTGAACAAGGCAACTCTTTTGTCTCTAGCGAGGCTGCCGCATTTGAAGCGATTCTCTTCGTCTGGGAAGCTGCCCGAATTGAATCGGAGTGGCCACAGGTGCGGTCGCGTCCTTGAAGGTAGCGCACAGATACGATTACTACAAACATGGGGACAAAGGCTATGATGGTAAGGATGGTAAACAGCTTTGGAGCAGGATGACCATGGTGTAAACAGTGATGATGATGGTTGTGGTCATTGATGATCATGGACATGAAGGTGATGATGGTGAAGATGATGAGGGACTGTCGACGAATCTGACGGATGCTGGTGCTGGGATGAGGGTATGAACGATCATGACGATGACGATGCTGGTGATGACGATGACGATGGTCATGATGCTGGTGATGGTGTCAATTTAAGGATGCCTGCGGTTGTAATGGAGTTGTGATGCGGCAGTGATGGACGGTGATTGCACTACTGATAGGGTTACCGAAGCTTATCAGGATGAAAGGAGCATACAGTCCAGTAAGTTATTGGTAGCAGTATGCATAGCCATATTCAACGCATCCATCGTGCTGGGCCTCATCATCACGAATCTGATGAGCCTCATCATCACCAGTAGCATCAACGCCAGTGTCATCATCATCATCATCATAATTATCCAAAACAGAACCGATGCGGCAGCTGCCACCGCCACAGCCATGGCACACCCACAACGCCACCACCGCCCCCAGCACCACAATCAGCACCACCCACCACCACCCGAAACCACCGCAGCGTCACTGACATATGTGCCGATGCCGCCATTCCCTCGTCAGCCTAACAATCAACATAGCTATCATCATCCTCATCATCTTCATCTTCACTGTCATAGCCATGCCATGTCAGGCTCCTGCCCCCCTCCCTAGCTCCTGTCAGTTAACATGAGCATGCGAGTTTTCAACTACATCGCCAGTCTCTACAGGGGAAGCTGGTTTCACCACTACGTGTATGCTGTGTTCTTATTCAGAATTACAGCCATCTGGATAGTAATCATCGCCTGTGGCCACAGCCGTACCTGCAAGGCAGGCGCTATGCGATCTCGATGCATGCCGTGCACAATGATTGGAGGTGCCGACACGGACCAGGACCCCCAACTTTCCAACCTGAAATCTGAAATTCAAGTTTTTGTGGGTAGCGAAGAGACCTGGCATCTCAACAACCACTAACGCCAAAAGCGAGCACAGTGAACCTATGACCCCAAGCACAATGAAGGGAAAAGGATGACGATGAAGTTATCAATTTCTCATGAACACCGAACCATAAAATACGAGAGGCCTTGCTAAGCAAATCTCCCTTCAAAGTACTGGGTTTACGGTATGACGCTTCACCCTTGAAGGTGGGGATTTCAAACTCTCTTCGAGAGTCAAGGTTCATGCTGCATGCTCCAGGGGATGATGGGTTGTGATGACGGCTCCGAAAGCCGAGAGTATCACCTTGCGAACTGCTTACAATGACACAAGTGGCCCAAAATTAGGGGACGGCGGACACGAGGATGATGATCGTCATCATGGCTATTCTTGGCATCACCCTTTTAAGCGCTAGGCCTAGCTCTGCGACTCCTCATGACTTCTGCATGTCCTCCGACTCTGTGCAGCAGCCCGGGAAAGGACACTGTCAATCAGGGCTAAGGGCGTCTAAGAGTCTGAGGCCCGGGACCCAAAGCAAAGTCTGGCAATATAACCCATCACGAGCACCCTGTTGATCACCGCCATCATCCGTACTTGTCATCATCACCATCACCAGTGCCAAGATAGCTATTGCCTTGCTGCTGTGGTTCGGTTTTCCGGATCTCCGAGCTCCATGTATTGAGACCGAAACCGTCGTGTCGGGACCTCGAACCTGGACGCGGCTTAAACCCTCCGTCGCAGCCTCATGTGTGAAACCCGAAGCCCTAGTGAGGGCGGTGTTGGCGTGCTGGGTTATTTGGGCTTACCGTTTAGGATTGTGGGAACGTCGGGTGCACACATGCTGTAAAGGCCTTGGCTTCAAGGTTAACTTGGGATTTGGAAGTGTGGGGGCTGCCGTGTTTGGTTCTTGTCGATCTTTGGGAGATCTTACCTGTTTGGGCTTGGGTTTATAGTCTACACATTTACGGCTCGGGCTTCAACAATCGCAGACCCCTAAACTCCAGTTTTGGGTTCATGCACTGACAGTCAGGATTTCCGAGACGGCCTTCAAACGGAGAGTTTCGCACGCCACAAGCTGTAACAAAGGGTCACGGTACACTGTCATGCCTAGATGCTCATGGTTTTTGCAGAAACAAGGTGCAAACAGTGTACCTGGACCCTCAGGATATGTTTTCCCTTCAGGCTCTGCCCCTTTGTGGACAAGCCCTGGAAAAAGAGCGCCGCGGCTTTGACGGCGGATTGAAGAAAACGAGTGGACTACGGCCCATCCCGTAAGCAACTTTGCGGTTCGGACGTAGGGTCTATGGTTTCGGGTAGTGGTAGTGGCCGCGGTAGTAACAAGAAGAAACAAAGAGAAACATAGAGAAACAACATCGTCGGTATCGTTGCGCTAGAGTCAAGCTACTGGTGCTCATCGTCGACCTACTCAATGGACGAGATCACAGGGCTGAAATCTGTCAGATGCTGTATCCACCGAGTAGAAGCTAAAACTCCCAACAAACGCCCACAATCTTCTATCCGGGGCTGCCAGCAACAACGATAGCACTCAAAATCACTGGCTACAGTATAACAAACTAAACATCAACATCATATGATAATCATCACAAGAATATTCATCATCATCATCATCATAACAGTAGCTAATAATAATCATGATCGCAGCTATAATGCCGCCGCCGCCGCCATCGTCGCCACCGTCGCCACCGTCGCTACCGTAGCCACCACCACCACCACCACCACCACCACCACCACCACCACCACCACCACCACCACATAAACAGCAGTTTGCTTTTCCTGAGGCCTCAAAGGATGCCGTTTTAGGCCTCATAGTTAATAGCCGCTGGACCCAGACTTCGAAAGCCCTGAAAACCCCAAACTCTTAAGGGTTTGCTGCAGACAAAATTGGTGGAAGATGGTCTGGAGTCCACAGCTCAGAGCTGGTGCTGGGAAGACCCTGGAAATAACCTGCAGGCAGTTTTGATTAAGAAGCAGTGTCAGGTCAGCAGTGGTAGCCCGCAGCAACAAGACAAGAAGCACTAATTGCTGCAGTAGAAATCCTGCGAATGACGACTACGACGACGACCTACAACTACTACTACCATAGACTCGCCATCGTTTGCGGCAGCAACGACGACAACGACAACGACAAGTACCGATAGTCATAAAGGTCGTTTTGGAAACCGCGCCCACATGCACAACGAGAACTTCCGATTTCTATCAAGAACACTGGAAACTTGCTATGTCAGGAATAAGGTGCGTGGACGAATCGTGTAAGACTGCGAGGCCTTCTGATCTGGGGGAGCCTGCTAGGAAACCTGTCCGGGCACTTCGCGGAACAGATGAGCCAGAGAATGCAGCAGAGAGAGTCAGTTACCTATTTAACTTTTGCTCTGAGGTGAATATGCAAGTTGCTGCTTGTTCATATCCGTGCCTGAACAAGCTGCCACGTTGTGCGGTGCATTTTTTGGCCGCTGTCTGGGAAATACTGGTAGTGCAGCTATTTCCGTTGCCACCGAAGGCCCCCGAAACCCTGAAGCCAAAGAACAGGACATCTGAGGTTCCGACTGCGGCGACCCTTCTCCATGTGGAGATCCCAAACTGATCGAGGAGACAATGCCTGGACATGTGAACATAGCATTCATTCCACTGAGTGTGCAATGATGTAACATCAGTTTCTATTACAATGATGTATCTGACCGTTCATACATATACACCGCGTGTGTGTGTGTGTGTGTATGTGTGTGTGTATGTATGTATGTATGTATGTATGTACGTACGCATCGTATGCTTGTTGCGTGTATATGAATGTATAAACACCAATGTACCCAGTGACACCAAGTGAGTCTGAGGCGCTGCAAATATGGATGTCGTGGCTCGGCCAGGGATGCTAACATGAATCCCAAACAATAAGACCTTAAACCCTAAACCCCTAAACCCTAAAACCCTAACCCCCAACCCCTGACGACTATGTCAGGTCCCGCAAAGACAGCGAATGGTGCGCGCAGGCCAACAGGCTGGCAACCACCAAGAACCGCAGCCATCTACGAACTACACATGTGTGTACAAACATACGTACATATATGCATACATATATGCATATACTGACATACATCTATACATATACTCTTTTATTCAGTAGTGTGTTTGCCTGCCTGCCTGCCTGCCTGCCTGGCCGGCTGTCTGTCTGTCTGTCTATCTGTCTGTCTGTCGGTCTGTCTGTCTGTCTCTGTCTGCGTACATATGATGTGTATACTTATGTGTATGCTGATAAGGACATATTAATGTACATACACGCATGTAGCTACACATATGCATGTTTATGTATGTATATATATGATATGTATATGTATATATATATATATGCTTGGCATAGGTAGTCTGTCTCTCTCTCTATATATATATATGGATGTGTAAACATACACATGTGTATTCTTGTATTCGGAAAGAAAGAGAGAGAGAGAGAGAGAGAGAGCGAGATCGAGAGAAGGTCGACTGGGAGCTTAAGGCTAAGGTTGTAGCGCTTGCTGTGTTTCAGGCACACGCTTTAAAGACTTCCGTGGGTCCCGGCCGAGATCCTCCGGGGGGGTCCCCCGATGGTAGCATCTTGGGTCCCTGTCCGAATTCAGGATAAGTTTCACCCTCAACCCCGGACCGTTGTTGGCACCCAGCTCTTGCAGCAAATGTTGAAATGAACCTTCAAGCTTGGTGCTTTGAAGACCTTCTTGATCTGGTTTGGTATTTCTCATACTGTCCCCCTGAGTCTAAGAGCCACCGTGCGGGCTGAGTGAGCCTTGACATCCGAGAGAATCGTCCAGCCTGCAGAGGGGTTGAAACTTCTCGCCGGAGGTAAGCCTAATTTAAATCCCAGATCCTCGAAAGTCAATGGTGTCCGAAGATGGGTCTTCAACTCGTGGTCACTATGCTTGCTTTTTGGAGGCGTGTTCTGCCCTTGAGGCTCGTCCCCTTCGTGAGCAGAGATGTGGCACAAATGCCAAAACGGGCTATGCAGGATTCAGCACGAACCAGCAGTGTCACGCTTTGCAGGTTAGTTCTGGGTTGCGCTTTCAGACACAACCAACCCGAAACGTTACAAGGGCTAGCAAGGGTCATCTCCCAGTTCATCTCACACCCACACCCTGAGCTTGTACCCCAATTCTGAAATGTATCCCATATATTAAGCCCGCCTTACCCCACAAACCCAAGCCAAAGCAACCGCCCAAACCCATATGACCTTATGCATTCTATAACCCAGAACAAAATCCACCACCTAAACCCACCACCTTATCCACTCTAGCAGTGTAAACAATATCCCAACTTGAACTGGGGTATGTCCCCAAATTTAGCAAGATACCCCAAAGCCCATAACCCTGAACTGGGAACTGAAGGGTGAATACGAAACGCTCCCAAGCCTTGCCGGTGCTACATAGAACTTAACTACATAAATTTCTTGGGAAACTGCAATCGGTGCTTTCTTTCTTTTGCAAAGTGTTGCTCATCTCATCCTTTTGGTTCTTCGTTGTTTTCTCGTTTCTTGTTGTCTCGTAATGTCTAATGTCCTCGCATCCACGAGTTCAACACGAATCAGTTACGGCTGTTCTGCTTAGGTAATCCCGGCAAGATTCTAATAGAAACTGTGGTGCCAAACAAATGCCGCTCATTGCGGATATAAACAAGTGCCAAGGTAAAGAGGTTTTTGCCAATCAGTTTATATAGATGCATACGTTGTTTACGCATAGCGCGTTTTTGGAAGTATCAAGCGGGTGAAGGGAGAGGAGAACATTGAAGATGGCAGAACCGGGATGTATGATATAGAAAGCATAAGAACCATTGAGAAGTCTAAGGTGGGTCGGGAAACAATAGATAAGCATCTTGGGTATGACTTGTGTATTGCTTGCCACAGTGGCCAAAGGACAACCATAAAGAAAACAGTAACACTTCACGAATGGGAGTTGTCGTATCTGATGTCCGGTGAGGGCCTTGGACCACAGCGACAAAGACTGACGAGTTTAGGAAGGTCAAGCCTTTTGAGGACAAGCTTGTTTAGGGTTTAGGGTTTAGGGTATTGATATAGGGTAACGGCAATAGTGGAAAGTGGAAGGATACAAGCAGCAGGACAGGAACGCGGGACGGGAAATAATCGATGAAGCAATGCTGATGCCGAGTGGTGCTTTAACCGGATGAGAGGCAACTCCCCGACTTGCGGGAAAGGATTTAACCTAGAGACAAGAGACTGCAAGCGATGCACTAATTTTACAGCACCAAGCATTGGCAGTGCCTTATCCCATGCGGTGGATAATTGCGATGCTTGGTGCGTATTTTGCAAATGTAGGGCCCACTACAAGTAAGCAATTAAGTTTTGATGAGTTCAACTTCAAATCGAAAACATTACACACACATCTATGTATACATATATATATATATATCAGATAAATACATTATATATATATATACATATATATGTAAAGATGTCCAAAAGAAAGATGCGAGTTTTACCTAAAACAAGATATTGACGCATTGCAACATGTCGAAGTCAAAAAAGAACGCCTCGTGGCCAGACTAGTTTTGTGAAGAAAACTCCTGAAGTGCTTTCAACTTTCCTAGCCCCGGCCTCCTCAACTGTAGCCGAAGGCTGTGGCAGTTTGCCAAAGCTGGCCGATGCCCCACGGAGACGTAACAGTGAACCTGAAAATGACGCTGTTGCAGTGGTCTGCCGCGTTTTCTTGGTTCAGGTCCTGGCATCAACAACACCTGAACCGCTAAAGATCGAATCGAACCCTACTAATACATAAGTATGCACATTACACATTATGCAGCAAACATTGAGGAGATAAGCCGTGGAGCTTGCAGCCTCAGACTTAAAACCTGTACATCTTCAGCCCATAGCCCTGCCAGCCCTCACCTGAGTGCACCCACCAAGCACCCACCACCACCACCGCCGCCGCCGCCGCCGCCACCGCCACCGCCACCACCACCGCCACCGCCACCGCGGGCTGCAGCAGCAGCAGCACCACCAAGACCACGAGCACCAACACCAGTACCATGAAAAAGTCGCTCCGATGCATTCCGATCCCGCCATGAAACTCTCAACACACTGAACGGAACACAAAACTGTCACAAAACCAAGGCCTAAGCCCTAAACCACACTAAGTCGCAAGGTCGTGATCCGAAGCAAGAACCGTAGGGGCCTTAGTAATTAGAATAGGGTGTTGGGGTAGATTCTACTATAATTGTTATAAGGAACCCCAAAATAGTATAGGTAGTTATTAAGCCCCCTATAGCAAAGTCAAACAACACCCAAAACACCCACCCTAAGGGCCCGAGAGCCGAAAGTTATCCCACCAGGTCTCAGGCGTTTTCTCGTAGCTGGTTGTAAGCTATCGCCCTGATCGCCGCGAAGGTTGCGGAAGCTTGGTGAGAGTGACTTCGGGAGGAGGGTTGAGGGTTTAGGATTTCGCAAGGAGGGGAGAGAGGGCGCAAAAGCCTGACAAACCCTCGAGAACGAATCGAGTGAACTGTTTTTGCTGTGTGAATGCTTTCCATGTTTTCGAGTAGATCGGTCTTTTATCGTTCACGGCTTTCTGATATACGCCTTGTCTAGAAGTAACAAATGATTTCCACGGCCCGTAGACTTCAGCGTTTTGGACACTCAGGTTCAGGGATCCAAATTCGAAAGCCACGGATATGTGCGTTTCCATTTCATGTCGGAAACTGAAGGTTGCAGGCAGCTTTCGATCATGATCTTCTCAGGACTCCAGGTACGATCAGGTATGGGCGACAGTACTGGCGAAGCATGAAGAAACTCCGTGTGCTGGAGAGCCCCGGTGGAGCTCCACCACCGGAAACCTAAACTTAAACCCTATGCCCCTAATCCCCGAAACCGTAAGGCCCTAAATCACCAGGCCCCGAACCCAAAACCCTGGCCTTGTCCTACAAGCATATGTCCAAATGCCTCTAAGGCCATCCGACCCCTTTCCGAGACTCGCAGAGCAACATACTAAACCACATTGTACCTACGAACATCTCAGATTCATATTCCAGGGACCCCCAAGTACAAAGAGAGTTTCTGAAAGGCAGGAAGGATCTTTATGATAAGCCCCCCCCACAGCCGCCTTTGACTGTTACGAACGATGCCCAAAGGCTACGCAGCCCCTACGGCGCCACGAATGCTAAGCCAGACCCTAAACCCTAAACTTCCCTGAACCCTAAAACCCTTAAACTTCCAATAACTCTAAAGCTGTAACCCTAGGAGAGAGAAGCCAGAAGGCTCGTTCTCTTCGTCGAGAGCTGAGGTGGCCTTAGCAGAAAAAGAATTTGGTGTTTAGTGTTTTTTGTTGTTATTTTTTTTTTTTTGGGGGGGGGGTTAGGGTTTAAGGCTCAGGGTCTAGGGCCTCTGGGCTTGGCACTGGTGGACAGCTTTTGGCCATGAGGATCTGTTTTAGTGTCTTGCAGTTTCTTTTTGTAGGGTTTTTGCTTTACATTTCTGGAGTGTAGTGCAGAAATTGCCGGCGGGGTTTAGAGCGAGCGGACCACGAGGTTTTGGTTCCCAGATTTGTTCACATCCGGCCCCTTTCCCGGTGACTCAAAGTGAGCTGCGAGGGGACACTGGATCCCGCCAAAGGTTTCCGAAGACCTAAGGTAAGTTATCTCCAAAACCCCGAAGTTCCTTCTTTACGCAGGACGAATGTACCTGTCTGAGGCTCCAAGCGAAGGCCCCATGTTGTGCTGGGTGTATGTGGAATGTATCAGCAGTATAAGTACTGACGCTACATATATGAACCTACGGTGCAAGTTCCCTGCATTTCGGATGTTGCCCGGAGACCCCTCGCCTCATCCAGCAAGGCCAGATGAACACCAGGATGTAGCCTCTGCTTTCGAGGGTTCAGGGTTTAGGGCTCTGGGTGAACGGCTCAGGGTGTAGAGGTTATGGTTCAGGGCGTAGGGCGCGGGGCTTCAGGGCTTGTTGGAAGTGCTGACTGCAAGGGTTGGGGTCCAGGGATCCGGATCAGAGTTTAGAATCTAGGGTCTGAAAACGACTGCTGGCCTGCGATGGCGCCAGCAAGCACACATTTTCATGGGGCTTGCTGGCCAAATGCGGAAGCTTCACTTCACTCATTTCGAAAAGCCCAGAGCGACTCTGAACCCTTGCAAAATTTGACGGCGACCACGTCTAAAAGCAAATGCGACTTTGGGCAAGCTGCATGTCTTAACAGTGTGAGAAGCGGACAGCATGTTTCACAGCCTACACCAAAAGCCCGAAACCCGAACCCTCAGTCCTCAACGGAAAACCCTGCTCCGCAAATCCTGTAGCCCTGCGGTTCTAATCCCCACGTTTCCCGACCTTTACCTCAGTGTCTTAGCGTCCTGCGAGGCCGTCCCGGGCCCCTGGCAGTAAGCGCGCGAAGCTCAATCTTTGCTTTTCGCCACCTCCATGTAAGCAGCGAGTTCGACAGTCGGGCTTATGGAGATACGGAGAGGGTCAGCAACGGAAACTATATATATATATATATATACAATTTATATATTATGCAAATGTATATTATGACACAATATTTTGTTCATATTAATTCTAAAGTATAGAGTGTATAATGTGATTGCACTTGACAGTCGGACATCGGTTCATTGCAAGGGCCACTGGAAGCCAATCTGACTCAAAATGGAGTTCTACTCGGAGGATCATGGGACTTAGTAAGTGGGTTTAGGGTGTAGGGTTGAGGGTATAAGTACCTTGATTCTCAATATATTACACCCATAGTTACCCTAACTATAAACCGAGTTACTAAGTCCCATAATCCTCTAAGTACGTATCTCCTCGGACATGCAGCATTGATACCTAGGATCACACAGCAAGGCGGGAGGGCTGTCAACTTGCGACATCATATCTCCAAAGCCTCGGAGCCCTAAGGAGTCGACCGGACAGGACCACCCCTTCGACGTTGTTGGGAATCGCTTGCTAATTTGTTCGCTTCCTATGAGCACCATCATCATTATCGTTGATGTGGTGTTTGGATCTTGAGCTGCACCAACCCCAAAACTTTGTGCCTAGCAGAGAATCGACTCTTTCTTGTCACTTCTCCGCTTTGGCTTGGGTGCATGCTTAAAGACGTAAGACGTAGCACCGAGTATGAACAAGGTACACATGCTGGCTTCCTGAACAGCAGCCGCATCACGAAAGGGGACTAGAGGCTACAGTACCCAATGTACCAACCGTCTCATCGCAACCTATGCAATACAATCACGTTCAAGGCGATGTGGTGGCATCGAGCTTTGCCCCGACCTCGCTTCTACGGGGGCTGCTGTTCGCTAGATTTGTTATTGCTGGGGCCCCAGGTCGCCGCTGCATACGTCATGACACAAGAAGCATTTCACAGACTCAATATCGACAGTTCTGCCTGCCTACATGTCAAAAGAACCCCGAAGCCCCGCCCTACCACCTCCTAGATCGCCCACATACACCCCAACCCCCCAAGTCCTAAGCCTTACACGCCTTAAGGCCCAAACCGCAAACAACAAAAACCCAAAACCCTGAACTTGGGGGAGTCCCACCTGAGAGCATCCCTTGAAAGTCCAGCCGCTCGTCGAGGCCGTGACCTCTTTTAGTCCGTCGTTGCGGGAATTCTTAGGTTCAGGGTTTCGGATTGAGGTTTTAGGGTTGAGGGCTTTAGGATTTAGGCTTTTAGTTAAATGCCTTTGTCCATCTGCTAGCGTCTAAGAGTCAGAATCTGCTTCAGCAGAAAGCTTTGGTGCTATGCCTCGCTCAAATGTCACCCTTCTAGGCTCACGTAGCGAACCCTCTGCAATTGGCTGCGGCTGTGAACTCACTGGTCCCCACATCCGCTCCCACTTGCCCTTGGTACCCTTAGTGATCCGCTCATAGCTCATGAGGTGAAGGGTCCGAACGACCCATATCACTATCTCTCCCAGCTGTAGTCGTGCTTGTTCTAGGCCATCACGTCGAATGCGGTCGAACATGTCCAACCAGCTCGATCCGTACTCCACGACCACAGCCGTATTCGAAAGCTCCCCCTGGACCAGTCGACCGTACTCTTGTCTGAACACCGCAAAGCACTGTTCAAGGTTGTAGGGTTTCAGGTTTTAGGGTTAGAGGTTTAGAGTTTTAGGGTTCAGGGTTATAGAGCTTGGGGTTTCAGGGGCTTAGGGGTTTACCACCAGGAGCCTAAGCGCCACAGGGGTCGACCTGTGACCCGCAACGAAGCCCCAAAAAGTGACCTGCACTACTATAGCAGTAGTAGCAGTGGTGGTGGTGGTGGTGGTGGTGGTGGTCGTGGTCGTGGTGGTGGTAGTAGTGGTGGTGGTAGTGATGGTAGAGCTAGTAGTGGTGGTAGTAGCAGTAGCTGTAGAACCCAACATCGGCAAGAAATGCTCGAAAGCCTGACAGAATTCGGAGAGCAGCTCCCTTGAATCGCGGGGCCATAGGCATTATCAAAGCCAAGGCTTTAAGCTTGACTGTCCAACACAGAAGCCAGCCAAAAAAGTGCACAATGCCAATGAAAGCTGGAATTGATGACTGCCCCGTTGAATAAACCAGCAGAGCACCAGTCCAAGCCCCAAACCCCAACCTGCACAGCTTCTGTTTCAAGCAGAGTTTCGAAGGCACAACAGAGAAAAGGCTAACGATCCTGTAGGTAAAGACAGCTTTCATAGTACAGCCTGCATGCCGGTACGACCTCTCCTCTGGGTCTTGTACGCTCAGCTTTGCCATACAGAATATAGCTGGATCTCTATAGCACCAAATCCTAGACAGCCGGAATCCCAAACCCTAAGCCCTAAAGCAAGCAGCACTACATCCGACAGCCACAACCTGATGCCGGAATCACTCGTTGTGGTTAAGCGGCGATCGATCAGATGTTCGATGCCCAGACTTCCTGATTCTGCAGCGGTGAAGCGCCCACAAACATATTTGCTTGGGATCAAGTCTATGACTCTGACTATGACTATGATGTGTGTGTGTGTGTGCGTGCTTGTGTTTGTGCTTGTGCTCGTGCTTGTGTGGGTCTAGGGCTCTTTGGCTTGGGAAAGAGCCTAGGGTTTTGTACGGTTTTGAGTTTCACACGGTCCACCCATGATTCTGCTACAAACTTCAGATGTTCCGACGCGCATACCCCTGCACGATACATCGTTTGGGGTGTGATGGTCCAAGCCCTGGAGAGCCGAGGGTGCAAGGATCAAGGCCCGAACTGAGTGCTTTTGCAAGCTGCAATCCGTGAAACTCGGGCCAGGCGGCGCATTGTGATCCGAATCTGTTCGCTCGAAACCTCTGCATCGCCAGCTCGTGCTGGATAAAGAACCTCTCGACAAGACTGGCCCACGGAGGAAAAACCCAGGCCGGTTGCTATGACTTCGCCGGTGGACTCCCCACTTCCGCCAGCGACGTGCTTCAATTCGACCCTCACTGCATGACCAGTTCCAGGAGGGAACCCTGAAGCCCCTCCGTGGAGTCAACTCGTGGCGTGGAGCCCATAGCTTCCCTTGCCCTAAACCCTCAACACGAACCTGTCTTGAGCATATCCATCACATGAGTGTATGAATACAAACATGTTAATACATGCATACATGCAGACATAAGTGCACAAATACATGCCTGCCTACATACACACATACATGCATGCTTACATGCATAGATATGCTGGTGACCCTGTGTTCGTAGTCGTTCTGGAAGGCAGCAGTTCTGGAAGGCAGCACAAGAATGCAACGAGAGGACTCAACTGCAGCTCCTGGGCTGTGGCTCTGCCTTTAGGGCCTTCAGGGAGGGGTTTGCCAGCCGCAGGCTCTCGATTTCGGGGCCGAAGCTCGAAACATGCTCCGTCTGCAACCCCTCGGTCATGTTTCGGAGAACCTAGCAACAGCAGCATTTGTTGCAGCATGATCGTATCCATCGTCACCACCCTTATCGTCATGACCAAATGACAACAGTACCAGCTCGGTACCTGCTATTATTCAAGCTGGCCAAGCGGACGGCTACGTTTCCGATCACAGCTGGAACTGCCGCAACCGCATGTCTTGCCTTCAGGAACCGGAAGTGTAAGCACTTACATATCATGGGCCTCTCCCTGTATGTCACACCACATATGCATATGCGCACACACACACACACACTCACATATGCATATGCATACATCCGTGCGCATCAGTACCTATACACATATACAGATACAGGCATGCATACATATAGACAGACATACAGTACTTCCATGCCTGCATCCAGCCGTCTAGCCATCAATCCATCCATCCACGCATCCATCCATACATCCACCCTTCCATGCATAAACGTACGCATACCTGGTGGAATACCACACTCCTACTGATACTGTTTCTGCAAGCAGCATTGTCTCGAAGGCTGCCGATACACAGGTATGGTGTCTGCGGAAGAAAGAAACACCTGACCGACAGCGGAAGTCAAGTGTTTTAGGTTTAGGGCTGGGGTGTAGGAGCATTTGTGGAAGTCTGGCTTTCGGATTGAGGTTTTGCAAACTGGCGGGCGGAGGGAGGGAATCTTGAGTATGTTGTCAATTGCTTCAAAATTCCGTGTCGCATTGCTGTCTAACAGGATCTACCGTCCAAGTTAAGCGGCCATGTTCGTCTAGTATGCCGCAAGCACGAATCGATGCCAAAGTGGGAACTGTAAAATGTGCATACCCTGCAAAGGACTTCGCTGGCTACTTGTACGGCAGGACCGACCCAGAAGACTCTCCAACATGATTCAACCCTTCCTTAACTAGTTCAAGCCTGTCAATATCTCAAAGGCTAAGTATCAGACCCTTGTTCTCATCCCGAACTCGTTCCCGTGCAATCCCTCAGCCGGAAGCCAACCCATGCCGGAAGCCAACCCAATATACATATATGAATATAGATTTCTGAGTGTATCCATGTGTACATGTGTATATCATATATCCATATGTATGTATGTACAGTACCTGTCTATATTCTCTCTCTCTCTATATATACACCCCCTCAACCGACAAGAGGCAAGCCAACAACCTTCGACAGCACGACCCGAATTTTCTTGAGCGTTCCCACCTCTCTATCGGTGCCCGATGTATTGCTCCTAGGATCTCTGGGATGTGCTTGGCTTGCGCGGTCTCTGTTCGGAATTTAGGAGTATAGGGTTTTGGTGCAGCCCAGAGCTAGGTGGACACCTAGTTCAGCGCAAATCGAACAGTGTTCTGGGAGCGTGACAAGTGAATCTGTGGCTTTGTTGGAGAGTGAACGCGGCTCACAGTACATGGAACAGTTCGGGCCCCCTAGGTTTGTCTTGGATGTTGATACGTCTTTACCGGGCCGTTGGCTCTTGCATGTCCTCGCGCAGAAGAGACAGCTTCTAATGGGCGTCCCCTGCGTTTGGAGTCTTGGCAGAGAGAGGTGGCAGAGAGAAGCATCTTCCATGTAAATTGCTGCATGCTCTCGAGTTTCCAACACATCCAAACACTGCGCCTCAAAACTTAAAACCTCAACTAGAGGCCCCAAGCCGTAAGCCCCTAACCGCCAAGCCTTAACCTCAGCCCTAAACTACGAGGGCTCCACACCCCGAGCCCATAATCTCTAAGCCCTACAACACCAAACAGTCTAAACCTACTGAAAGATCTTAGATACCACCCACAACCTGCTGCAATCCCTGAGGCCCTACAATACTCCAAAGCCAAAACCCAAAACCCAAAACCCCAAATCCTAAACCCTAAATCCTGAACCCTAAAAGCTCCTAAAACCCTAAAGCCCTCCACCCCTAAGTCCCCCACACCCTACAACCCGAAGTCCCTAAAGAACTAAGGCCCTGAGCCCCCAAAGGTCCCGAAATCCCACAACCCTAAAGATGCAAAGCCCGAACCCGACGACCTCTAAAATTGAGGGTTAAGGGTTCAGGGTTTAGGGTTTATGGTATAGGGTTCAGGGTTTAGGGTTCAGGGTTTGGGGTTTAAGGGGTCTGCAACATCCACGAGACTTTGAAACTTTCCGAGGGCAGCTTAGTGGCCGAAGCCGCGATGACACCTGGGAGGACATAATTTGGGATTCAGGGTTGAGACGAAAGGGTTTAGGACGGGGTTTACGATTCGGGGTTTAGGGTTTAGGATGTAGCATTTAGGCTTACAGAGCTTGGGTTTAACATTTATGCTTTCAGAACGAGAGCCCCTGGCGCATTACCATGACTGTTGATATTTATTTTCGTATCAGTGCTATGGTCGGAGATTTCGGGGCTTCAGGCTCAACGTTCGTGATTGGTTTCCAGATGTTGACTCAGAGTCACTGTGCCGGTTGGAACTGCGGCAGGGAGCACGATGTACCCGTGCACACTTACAGATAGATGACAACCCTCTAAAGCCTAAACTCCTAAACCCCTCCTTGTTGAATATATCCTAGGGGAGCACGGCCTGCACACCAAAAACAGCCTGGTTGAGCGAACCTGCCTGTATACAACCTGTACGACGATGGCACACCAAATGTTCACTGACCAATGTTCCCAAACAGCCGTTGTATCTCACCACCATCGGCGAACAAAAAGACAACTCCATTTCAAATACACTAAATAGACGTCCAAGCTTGCACACATGCAATGTTCAGGCAAGTAGCAAGCCTGCTATAGCTCGGAGCAGTGAAGATTTTCCACTGCCGCTGGGACCCTCGATTAGCAGTGACTGACCTGCAGAATCCAAGGAAAACTCGCTTACATTTAGGCTGGATTAGAACTTAGGGTGTAGTTGTCGAACGTTCTGCGAGAGGCCGCAGAGGTTTCATGCCTTGCATCGCCTCGGAGAGAAGTTGGAATGATGCATGTCTGCAAGCAGGCGCTGGCTGGATCGTCTCACTTCTTGAATTCCACCATTCGTGTTCAAACAAGACAGATGTAGCAGAAACTGAGATTGATGATCAAACCCAGGGGTGAACGACACCTACTGCCACCGCGCGATAATTTGCAGTTGGCCCACACGATTGCTTGCAATAGTCTCGCAAGGCACCTCAAACCAGCAATGCCTGCATCCCAGACTAAACGCTCACTCAGTTGGAGGTGGGAATCTCGAGACACAAAACTCATGGCCTTCTTTCAGTGTCAGCGTCAAGTTCGATATCAGTGGCAGGCTTGACAGCGGTGGGTAGAGCGTCACCTGGATCTTCTTCGTGTGATCATTTGGAGGCTCGTAGGTGGCTATCATGGCATTCCGGCAGGGAAGCTTTCAAACGTGCGGCTAAGTGATTTGTTTAGCTGACGTGAAGGTCCCAGGCTTTTGACCACCAAGGAACCGTTCTCGAATCTGCAAAGAGGAATTCCAAGCCCCAGCTCTCTTCTACAACAAAAACGACATCCCCTCAACTCCATCAAGAACCCATCCGCCCTCAACACCTCGCCCCTGAAGTAGCAGAATGTCCTAAGCCTTAAGAACAGTTCAAGACCAGCAGAGAGCCCTCGAAGGACCCAGCGGCTCCTCCTAAGGATTCAAACTTAGCCTCCGAGTAGATTCAAAACTTAGCCTCCGAGTAGAAAACCCAAGATCTTTGAACCACTCGAAAACCTTGATGATCACTGTACCAAACTTCAACAAACTAACGCTTCAAGTCTCCCCCGGCTTCTCCTGAAAGCCCAACCTGACACCCCACAGCTCTGCTCCGATACCACACAGGCAAGACGATGAGGACCTCTCAGGCGGAACTAAGCCTGACTGCACACCAAACTCCCAAGCCCCGAAACCCAAACCCCACAATCTCGGGTTTATAGAGTTTAGGGGCTTAAACCCCGCACCGTAAAACCCTGAACCCAAAAGTTCTATCTCTCAATACCTCATGCTCTAGATGCTCTCCTTCATCCAAAACTGGGCTGCCCGACGCAAGCAAGCTGAAGGCGAACATTTGTCGACTCCTCGGGCGTTGCTTCTGCCACGGTTTAGGGTTTAGGGTTTGGGGTTCAGGGTTTAGGGTTTAGGGTGTGGAGGTTTTTCAGGTCGAGGCAATGCCCTGTACCAATTGGTGCTTTAGGGTTGATACCAAGATCTTTATGCCCTAAACCCTAAACCGTGGCTTAATTTATGCTGCATACCATGTTTGGGGTATTGGAGTGTGCAAGGTTCTAGCACACACGGGCTTGGGGCTTTAGAACTAGTTGATCAAAGCATCGAGGAATTCCGACTTTGAGATCTTCGTGACGCTGAGGGGTTCAGGAGAAGCGATCTTGAGCTTTTGGGTTTAGAGTTCAAGGGGTTCGGAATTGAACTCAAGGCTTGCAGCTAAGCTGATGGATCTACATGAGCAGTGATAGTCTGGGGCCGGTGATTAAGGATTGGAGGCCCTGCAAGCACTCAGAGCTGCGTGGCTTTGGTATCCTGGACAGTCAACGCTTCAGTCTGGAACCTTCAAGAGTCGTACACCCGTTGAAATGCTTTCATCTGAGAGGGGCCGGGTCGTGCTCGTGCATCTCGAGATCTTCAAGGGCCTTCACAGAGCATCCATAGATTCTGACTTGCATCCTACACTGGCAGCTTTTGGGCAGTCTGCAGAAGCGTGTTACTTACCCGCTGCTGTTTTCCTTGTTTTCGGGCTTTACGGCCGGCAATGCATGACTATCTTGAGATGGTGGCAGAACGTCACGGGCTGTGGTGGGAAGACTTCTGAAATTTACGCAGACATGTCGTTTCCGCCAGTTGGCTGAAAACACAAACTCGCCACACCCTTGTCTCTGACCTCGTGAATCCAAACCACCACAAGCTCTCGGACGGCTTTTGCATAGAACTCACCCCAACCGACCGCGTCTAGTGTCCTCCTCAAGCGTGCAAGATCCAGATTGTTGAGAGAATACTTGCATCATGCTGGCAGTAGCCGCCCGGCTTTGGCAGACTTGCTCAAAGCGGAGGTCTTGACCATCAACAGAGGAGATTTTCAGTCATTGAACACATCCAACAGTCCGTGGATATCGTCCACCTTTGCCAATGCATCGCTATCCATCTTGACCAAGATAGCCTTGATGCTCTGCCATGCTCTGCTTTGCTTCGCTGTGCCAGGCTATACTATGACAATACGATACAGACTACCCTACACTGTGCTATGCTATACTATACCATACTATAATATACTGTGGTTTTCTATACTGTACTGTACTGTGCTAGAGTATGCGACACAACAATAAAACCGTAGTGCATGTTCCTACTTCACTCGAGGCGAAAGCAAAGCATCCTCAGCTGCAGTCGGTGGCCTCACCGGATGCGGGCTGCTCCACGTCGGAGACGGAGACAGCAGACGACCTTTGATGTAAATTTAAATGCGCAGAGGAAACCCTAAACCCTAAAGGCTCCGAGCTCTACGACAGAAGCTTTGAAACTGGAACGACGAGACTAAAAGTGACATCCTGCGCCAGACATCTTGCGGCTCTCTTTGATCAACTATTGGACATGGCAACAACAACTGATGAAAACCGAGCATGGAGAATGCAGGGGTCGTCTATGTTCTTGACAATCAGACCGCTATCGTCCTCACTTAGTAAACTCTAAGGCCTTGCAACCGACTTCGACAAGTGTCTCGTTGCCGCTCGCTTCACTCGAGGTCGCTGTTGTACTCGCGGTGTCGTGGGTGTCGTCGGTTGCATCGGGATGCCTAAATTTCGCCTCGCGAGCTCCCAAAACGCTCTAGTGCTAAAGTATGATGGGCCACCCCATGTGATGTCATGAGCCCAAGGGCCAGGGTGCGGCAAGGAGAGTCACAAGTCGTGAAGCTTGATCGCGGGCTGGTACAGTTTGCAGTGGCATGCTATTTGGGCGCTTGGCATTACCCACCATGCCACTTAAGCCATTTTATAAGTTAGATGAGATGTACCGCTAAACAGTTCCGCCAAAGCCAGAGACATCGGCCACTTCGACAACGAGAGGACCGATGCTTTGGAAAGGTTTGCTTCAGTGCGAGAGCAAGGCTCATGCTCCGCAGTGGACCTTCATGCTGTTTCAGTGTAGCTTTCGGTTTCAGTGTAGTTCTCTGCGACACCATACGAGGACAGGCACTCGAAATCAGTGTAGAGGCAGGAGAACTTCCGAAAGGTCGACTTTGCATGTGATGCGTCTCCTGCAGCTCAATGTCCTGAGCCTTTGGAGCTCAGGACATTGCGCAAGATGGGCCATGACCCTAAACCCTAAACCCCAGAGCTGCAAGATTCCACCGGCTGGGGTCCAAGGTATCTTCTGACTGATGAACAAGGAGACACTAAAAACAAACAAATACACCCAGCAGAGAGAGAGAGAGAGATAGAGTCAAAGGAGGTTCAGTGACAACAGTGGCAAAGCCTGGCAAATTGCCCTGATGTTACAGTCAGTAGAATTTCTGTCCCTGACACGCACTAATTGTCGGCATTTCCAAACCTTCTCGGCCCGCCTGCCCGCAGTCTCGAAAAAAGCGCTTGGCTGAGAGCTCCATCGTATGATTCCCTGTCTACAAGAACAAGCATGTTCTACACCCTAAAGCGTAGTAACCCTAAACCGAAACCAAGAGGGACAGCATAACGTCGGCTGGCGGCGCTGGGCCAGTCTCATGAAGCTATCAAGCATCACTGGGCCTCCCGAGACCATCCTACACCCGAGCAGGGTGTAGGGTTTGGGATTCAGGGTTTAGGTGCAATGGAGCCTCGTCCCTCTCGATGGCTTCAAGAGCAGCCCAAATCTCCTGCAACGTATCACGCGCCTCTCTTCAAACCTTAGGTCTAGACATGCGCTCAACAAGACATGTGCACAGCCCTAGGAAAAGAAGCGGACTTAAGCCAAACCGGAAGTCGTGACGCTTGAGAATTGCATGCCTGTGACAACTTGAGTACCGGTCTTCAAAGCTGGACCAAGTCCGATCGGCCAATCACGGGCATCACCTACGAAATCACAAGACCCGAAGATTGAACCTTTCTGAACATTACCTGCGCTCATGACGGTGACGAAGAGTGACGGCGATTTTGTTGTTGCTGCTGTTGTTGCTACTGGTTGCTAATGTATTGTTTGTGGTCGTTTGTTGTGTGTGGTCTGTTGCTTGTTGTTTGCATTGTTTGTTGCTTTTTTGCTGGTTGCTGCTTCTGTTGTTTATTGCTTGTGGCTTGTTCTGTGTTGTTGGTTGCTTGTTTCTTGGGTGGTCGTTGTTTGTTGTCTGTTTGTCGTTTGCTGTTGGCGTGTTGTTTGTTGTTTGTTATTGCATGCTTTGTTGTGCTATTTGTTGCTGACTGCTTAAGTTTGTTGCTTGTTGTTGGTTGTTGGCTGTTGTTGTTTATTGTGTGTGGTTTGTTGCCTTTTGTGGGTTGTTTGGTTTTGGTTGCTAGTTGTTCGTGGTTGTTGTTGTCGCTGCTACCGCTGCCGCTGCTGTTGCCGTTGTTTTTGCTGCTGTTCACATGACGACGATGGCGACGTGAATTGTGTGGATGGTCCCGCTGATGCTGGGGCTGTTGATAATGTTGCCAGTGACGAGGAGCAGGACTCCAATTAATCTAGCTTCACACTGTCCAGCACAGCCCTAGCAACTGACCAGAGCCCTTTGCGATCTCCCCTCCGTCCTTGACACGGACAGACTCCGCACCCAGCTTGGCAATGTCGTTCAGCTCCTGGTTCCCCGAAAATCTTTTGGATGCTGGGGTTAGGAATCCGCGACGACATTCCGGAGTGCATGCGGCTCGCGCATCTCACGGGATTAACGATTTCAGAGGGCCTGGGTTGACGGTGCACTAACCTGAGTCCACAACCCTCGACCCTGAACGCCACAGCTCTTTGTGGGATCTCGGTGGCCTTGCCCAGATCCATCATGCCGCTCAGGAGGGTCTGGAAGAGGAGCTGCGCGGCCAGATTTGTCGGTTCGTGAGTTGCCGCACTTGGGGCTGAGGAATTATGAGACCGATGATTCGGACACATGGCTTGCAAACAGTGTCATATATTCTCAGAACATATTCTAACATACTGTAAGATACAACACGTACACTATACTACAACATACTACAAAGTACTCTAACATATGGTAAAATGATCACACGCACTATACTACTACATTTTAAAATGCAGACTCATGCCCGACTTTGCAAGACATAGTTGCACACTGCTCTTCGTGCACGATTGCTGCAAGCTCTGCAGTGCCTGGCTCTGTTGAATCGTGCCAAAGGACACTGTGCCACGGAAGTACCTCAGTAGCACTGTCTCTGAGCAAGGTGAAATTGAAAGACAGGCCCCCCCAAGTTCCGAAAAGCCGAACTCCAAACTCAAAGCCCGAGTCCAGCAAACACATGGGTAGTCCTCTAAATTAGGGTCCCTGTTTAAGTCCCCAATACAGTACGGCACCCTTATAAAAAAAGGACCCTAAACGGGATCCTAATTTCGAGAACTACCCACATCACTTGGAAGGCTCCGTCTGCCCAGATGCATGGGTGCAATGACGAGCATCGGCATGAGGCCAAAGCCTGCTTGGACCACACCTGCTTCCCAAGTGCATGAGGTAGCGTTCGGAGGCCTTCCCAAGTTCTTACTTATCCCTTCGGTTTTGCACCTTTTTTTCCGCGATTTGTTGGAGGTGTGTTGACCGGGCTTTTGTGCATGGGCTCTTCATCCACCGCGTCTTGCAGACTCGCAGAGCCAAACTAGGGCTGATGCTGAGGAAACGGTCTTCCGTTGCTTGCTGAGGAATCAAATTTTACGATCGGAGTTTCCGGGGTTTTCGCCCAGCTACCAGAGGCATGAGAAGAAAAGAGACCACCAGACTTTCACTGAAGCTTCTTTGACAACGTCTCGGAACCCAATTCCCGGGCCTCATTCTGAACCCAAAGCCCCATGCGTGTGTTGGGTATTGGCTTGAGGATTAGGTTAATCCCTGCATGTGGCTACACGCTTGGAGCCTCACGCAGCATGACCAACCTCACCGAACTGTCGTTTCGGAAAGTTGCCTACGGCAGTTTGAGGCTTTGGAGGTGTAGAGTTTCTTAGGGATTGCGTCTCCATCTGTTTATTGAAGGCTTGCGGTTTCTGGCCCTTAGCCTTGTATGCCTGTCCAGACTAGAACCAGAACCCACAAGTTGTTCCGACGAGGTTCCGGTGATCATCTTGTAAATCAGCTCGATCGCCTCAGAACATGGATGGCGCAGGCCCGTTGCTACTCGCAGGATCGGCTCAACAAGAAGTCCCGGGTTCTGGGCCCTTTTTGAACAGGGGACTGAAACCTAGCTGGAGCATTCACAGCCAGCGCCGTGTCCGGTTCCAACACAACGGTTCCAGCTGCCATGCTTCTCGTCCAACGTCATGAGGCCAAACAAAAAGAGCCAGACAAACTAATGATTACAGGGGAGCTTCCTGGTGACGGCAACTCGGGAAAAGCCCCAATGCCATTCGTGCGATCAGAATTTGGCGAAGACTCTGCCCAAGGCTTGTCCATGAGGAACTTCACTCAACAATGCTTCACCCCTCCCCTCCCCCCGGTCGAAAGTCTAGACCAGAGCATCACGTTATGTTTTCTTAACGTCTCTTTCCCTCTCAAAGCTCTGCGCCCATGGGCTAATTCGACTTCAGTCACGGCACATAATCTGCAAACCCTAATATGGAGTTTTAACTGAACCTTTGCAGATCAACCTCCAAGGGTGGACTGCTGCAGTTTGTCAATTCTCTGCAGCTGAGTTTGAAAGCCGCAACCAGACACCGGTCACCTGAAGTTTTCAACCCCAAATTGGTCATGCTAGTTCCCGAAGCGAGCGGCTGCAAACTTGTAGCTGGACCTTCAGCGTAATGCGGCTGGAAGTGCGGCTCGTTATTTTAGTGAGGTTGAAGAACTAACTGTCTACAATACAATAACGAGTTCTGCTGTCGTTAGCTTGTGCTGGTGCTGGTACCGCTGCTACAAGTATGCTGAATATCAGCACCTATATTGATCACGATGATTCTGATGTTCAGTTGATTGTAGTCATTACCTTCATCTGTACGTTTATGCCCGCGTATACTATTTGGTATTCTTCAGGGTACAACGCTCAGTAGTTATTGCTGTGGCACCACTGTCTTCATGGCATGACTTGAGTGAGTTTTAGCAGAGCTCTAGCACCACTTCGGGTCGCAGGCGGCTTGACGAAAGACAGTCTTAATTTGCGCTCTACAGCGTTTACGGCCTAAGGTAAACCTCAAGGCTTTGAGGATGACTCCGAATGAGGAAACCGGGAATAGCCAAGCCACAGATCAGATACTACCTGAACCGTAGAGCTGTAGAACCCTACAGCCCTACACTCTAAACTCCCACAAACCTTAAACGTTTCAGAACACCCACCCCAATTCCGCCCGACCCAGACGAGATTGTCTACAACGTCGCGGGCAAGCGAACAAACCAAGACAGTCCCGGTCCGACCGCTAACCTGATCAGCCATGACCCTGAATATCATTGTCGTGGTAGAACGAAGAGTAATGGCAGTAACAGCACACCACCACCAAAAAGAGATGCGACATGACCATCAATGCAGTGAGAGTAATGCATAGGAAGCAAGCCATGAGCCAGAAATCACCTGCGTGGGATCGAAGGTAACATCAAATCTTGCGGCCACCACTTTGGTGCAGATTGTGTATGTTGCCTGTTTACCTCCTTCGTTTAGGCTCAACGGCAACGTGTCTCGAAGTGTGGAATGTGTGGACAAATTCAATCGTCGACAGCAGCCAGGAAGCAGCGCTGATGAAAAGACTGGCAGACTCCGGACGGTTGAATAATGGCTCTAACCTTCAACCGGCCTAAGCCCAGGCGAAAACCCACTCCTGCAATTCGACGGAGGCGACTGTCTCAGACGCGATCCCAACGTCCTAAACCCGAAACCGGAAGCCTTCGTTAGCCTGGGCCCCGACCAGATCACATGGTCCAAGACCTGCTTCGCTGGCTTAACGCTTGGAGTCTTGCGTTTCTGGTTTAGGGTCTGTTCAAAAAGTGGGTCTGTGGAAGTTGATGATGCAAGCCTGGGCCGGTCTTTAGTTCCAGCACTATAGTACCTTTCTACTAGTACCCTTACGTTAGTGTCGACTTATAGTGCGTACCCTTATAGTACCCTCATTTGTAGCCTACGGAGTAAAATCTTCGGCTTTCATGGACAGCGATCAAGAGATGCGAAGTTACTACTGATAGTCACAACATTCGCACTCAAAGCCAGTGCAAGAACGCCATGGTGGAGGTGGCAGCAGCAGCAACTACTGGAGAACTAGTCAAGAATCAACCCAAGACGCCAATGGTATAAGGAGAGACCAAGGGGGCAGCCTCAAAACACTAGCCTTCGACCTTAAAACAACGCACTTGAACAGGAGGCCCTGGGTCCGCAACCCTCTACCCTGAAGCCTCGAAGAAGAAAGTGCGAAGCACATTTTGGACATCCTTCTGCCACCGCGAATACGTGCCCGGAATCTGAAACCGTCTGAACCCAACAGCATGATGCTCTGCATACGAGCCTCATGCTTATGAGGTCTTCGTGGGAAGTTCAGAATGGCCTATAATGGATAGCCGAAGCTGTAGGCTCAGACTCTTCTGCTAGACAGTGACGGATGGAAAGGACCAGGGGTTCAGGCAGCTTTTTGTATGAGGTGTGCACTGGCTCACTGAAAGGATTGCAGCTGCTATGCCAACATCCAAAACCGTTCCCTTCGCCCCTCTAAACGAGGCAAGCGGCCGTCTCGGAACATTGTCGCTCATACTTGTAGCCGCGGAAGAAGGCAACGGATTCAGCCTCGATGCCGCAAGTGCAGGCTTGGTTTAAGATCCCCGTTGGATGATCCACCTGCCACCTCGTCGCTTAAGGCGCCCAGAGACAATCGATAACATGATCTTCCAGACTCGAGGAGGAAAGGTGGTCGTGCTGCTTGGGGGCTGCCGGGTATGGAATCTGACCAGCGAAACCAACCATCATCACACCACCGCGGTATCATACCAGCATCACCACCACCATCCCGATCAGAACGTCGTCGCCGTCACCGCCATGTTCCGTCAGCTCAAGACCAAAACACAATAATCCTGAATTTCATTCGCAACGACGTACCAATCGAAAATACTTACGCGATAACCACATTGGTGAACCAACTTTGCCTCTGATGTTGCAATATGACCAGCCCATACCTGAGCACCTTTCAAACACAGGTTGATTACTGATTGAAAGCTTCCGAGCAGTATATAGTGGAATATGATAGATAGATAGATATACTTCGTAGAGTATAACATGATGTAGTGCTGTGATGGCAAGGTTTGGTTTGCAAAGTGCAGCTGGACCGCGACTGCAATGGCACAGGAACTCAGAGCAACATGATACATAAGGAGCCATTCTAAGGCGCATAGGCGATGGGTCGCGGGAGAACGGGAAAACGGCAGCGCATAGAATCGTCGAGTAGAACTCAGTGCAGCAAGAGAAGGAAGCAAAGTGCAGGATGCTTCTGCTCTGGCTCATCCATTCCGCGATTTCCCTTTCCCCCCACTGAACGCTCAACCTTAACATTTTCATACTTCAGTTCATCTGCCCCAAAGCATCGTCGCTGGATTTCTTCAGTTAGACTAGACTCCCGGTACTGTCAGGGTTTCCTTTGTGGGCACCTTCAGGGTTACTGTATGCTTTGCTGTAATCTGTCACTTTCGGGTTTCTATGGGGTTATTTTGCACCTTGAAGGGTGACTCGGTCTAGCTCCTCTGAGTCTCAAAGCGACCTAACTGTCCTCAGGCGGGAGCATGCTCTCGCAGCCGCACCAGCACGTAACGTAGATCGGCCTGGTGATACGGCAAAGGCTTCGGGATCCTGAAGTGGGCAGATTTTCAATGGCAGCAGGATTCCAAACTTGGCATCAAGAGTGTTCCAGCGATGTGAGCCTGAATCTTCTTTGCCTACAGATGCGTTTAACTAGTACCTGCTGTGTTGGTAGCAACTGACCTGAACCCGACGGTCATTATGGCTATTGTAAAAACATCAGCTTCAACGACTCTGGTTTGCAAAAGACAGAGGTGTTGCATGTCAGGCTTCCTGCGCTCAATCCGCAAACCTACGCCACAAATGCCCGAAAGCCCACCCCAGCCCGACCAAAACCCTAAACCCCAGAACCCAGACTTCTGATTCAGCACCTCGACTGCCAAAACGCGGCGCTGAATTTTCATCAGTGGCGCAGCGAAGAACACCAGGGAAACGAACTCGGCCGAGCGCAACGAGAGGCATCGAGCTTATTAGGTTCACAGCACCGCGTAATGTAAAACGAACGCTGTCTTGGGGATTGGGGTTTAGGAGTTTACGGTCTAGGATTTCGCAAGACGACTGGACAGTCAGGGAAACGCTTCTGAGATCGCAGCCGTGTAGAGCAAAGAGAAGCCCACAAGGGTGTAAAACCTGAGTGGCTCGTGAGCAATAATTCAGTGCACTGGCCTTCGGCTAGCTGCACATGTCGCAAGATCCATTCGTAGTGGTCGCCGCAGCCGGAGGAGTCGCACAAACATCGGTCAAGATGGATGGCCCCGCAGTCCCAAAGCACAGAGTGGAATTCCAGCAACTTTAGCCTAGAGTGTCAATGCTTCGTCTCCCAATTCTCGAACGTGGGGCGCGACCAACCCAATATGCCCCAAACCACGAGCTCCACGTTCATCCCCAGACAACTCCATACTACCCAAGCCCCCAAATCCCAAGCCACTGTCATCAAACCCAACGAAGCAAGAAGTTTGATAGTTGAGACCTATAGTGGCCCACTGCGGGTAGATTCTAGGATTCAGTTTTTGTTGGTTCGCCCGCTTAGGGTTAAGGAAGTTCGGGACTCAAAGGCCTCAAAAGCAACAATTAACAACCAGTAACCCTATGAAAACCCCAAACCCCAAAACCTAATCATGATAATCGCACCGAAAATGCAGCTTCCCAGAGCAGAGTCTCGCACAGTCGCGGAGAGATCTCGATCAAAGCTGCGGAATTCAACGCGATCTTCATGGCCTTATTTTTACCATTATCGGTACTATTGTTTTTTTTACTATCCTTATTCCTGTTATGCTCATTATTGCTTTCCGAAGGGAGCTCAGGAGGTTTGTGGGCAGGGCTAAGGGCTTTAGGGCTTTAGTGTTTTGGGGTTTACTGTAGGGCTTCGGGATTTTAGTTTTGGGTTTGGGCTTTAGGGATTTTAGTTTTGGGCTTCAAGGCTTTAGTTTAGGGACTTAGGGTTGAAGAGGATTGACGGTTTAAGAGGGTTTACAAGGCAAGGTTAGGGTGTGCAGGGCGAAGTGAAGGGCTTTATGGATGCAGAGTCGGGGTTTTGTTTCGGGGATGCAGGGGTTACTGCGTTTGAGGGTCAAGATAACAGTGAGCAGTAGCAGTAGGAGTAGGAGGAGGAGTAGTAGTAGTATCATAATCGTTATGCTGGTCGCTCTAGGGCTTTCTGGTCCTGGGGCCTTACATCCGGCGCCCCGACTGTGTCCATAAGGCCTCGAGAGCAAAGCGAAGCCTGAAGTACATGGGCTAGCTGCAAGGTCAGGGTCCAAGCTTTGGGGTACTGGGGTTTTGATGGGGGTTCCGGACACCTTTAAAAACACCGCCGTAAAGAAACTCATCACGTGACTGTCGCCAGCCCTTGCTACTTGCACGCCGCTCGGCGACGGTGGTAAAGCGGCTCTGCTTCCAGTTGCAGCGGCCCGATCTGCAAGTTATGCCCTGAGCCATCCCTTCCCAAGCCTGTCAAGAAGACTCGGTGCAAACACGACAAACCCCAAACACCTATGCACAGACAGTCAGACTGACAGACAGACAGACAGAAAGCCGACCAAGATCTGTACAAACGCCTAAACTTCAATTGATTGCGAGTCCGAGCCCCGTTCGTCCAGCGCAAGCTTCTGGATCAGGGTGACAGATGTCCTCGTGAAGTTGCCTTCCAGACTTTGAGTTTAAAGCTGAGAGACTTTATGGTTTAGTGACTTTCCGTCTCGGGGTCTCGAACAGCTTGGGATTCGGCGTCTAGCAGAAGCAGGAAACATGGCTTAGCTTGAAGCCCGTAGAGTTCAACTTGTCAGTCTGGCATGCCTTTCAGGGACCCCTGTCTGCCGATTGTCGTCGACATCCATCGATGGCCGGGCTTTTGACCAGCAAGCACTGGCCCGAGCGCTGCCTATGTCTTGTGCAATTCGCTGATCAGGATTGTCCAGGTTCCCATACCTCGGAAGCCAATGAAGCTCCAGGGATGTCTCGGCGTTCAGGCTTTTCAGTTGTACAGCGAGGAGTCTATCAAACTACATCGGCTTAAACATCGCCCTGCGCACGCCACCCACACACTCTCACAAACAGTCAACACTTGTCAGATGGGTAGAACACTGTCCAGCAGCCAACGGAAACAGCTCCGTATTCGCATCATGTGACCCCTATTCGGACTACCCAAGTTGAGTCGAACATGCTATAGTTGTGAGCTGCCCAGTCCCCAGCAAATCCAAGATATCCTTTCTAAGCCATGAGGCCATCTTGCTACATCCGAAGACCCGACTGCTTTGGGAGGCCCTAGCTGCCGAACCCTGTGTCTGTTGCTGAGGCCGCGAAATACTGCTTCTGGACGTGAAGGAGATGCATGACATGGTTGGACGCAGCGTGTTCGGCCGGATTCTCTGGGGTTCTCGCGTCCCCCACGGTTATGGTCTGTTGAACTGGACAGCTGGGAAAAACAAGCCGAACTTTGGAAAAAATAAATAGCATCTGTGCAGGCGTGCGACAGAATCTTCAGTCTGTAGAAACAGCTCTTGTCCGAGATCTCAGCGGGGCTTCCCACAAGGAGCTGAAAATACTCTCCCAAATCCAACATGTGGCTGCACATGGCTGCATGAAGCCGGGTCTGATGTAAAACAACTGGCGGCTGCTACCACCAATAGCTCTTGCTCCTGCTGCTGCTGCTGCTGCTACGGTCACTACTACCATTTCTACGACGAAGACGACGACTGCGAAATGTTGTGACTGTTCTTGGTCACTGTGCCACTATATTCGTGCTACTATATTTGGACTGTTATCATCAGCGTCGCCCCTTCATAGGAATGAGTAGGCAGCAAAGCTTCTGATGGAATCTGATAGAAGTGCTTGCGATACTCTTGCTGTCCTGGTGTTTTTAAGCAAATACTAGCCATGATTGCGCTCTGCCAGCGCATGCTTTCTCTGTTTATTGTCCGTCCTACCTGGAGTTCATGCTTCTCCTCCCAGCAACAACCGGCATGTGTGTCATGTCCGGCACAACTGGACCCTTCGGTAGCTTAGCTGTCAACTCCTTTGGTAAGTTTGCGTAAGTTGGACGAAGCTCCCTAAACTTACGCAACACCGGTGTCACAGGAGTGCACAACTTCATGAAGGATTCACAGCTCCTGGCCGAGCGGACCGTGCTCCGTTCCCTACCAGATGGACCTTAATAATTACAATAAGGTTTTGGGGTCGAGTATACTATAGTTAATTATCTATAATTGTACTAAGGAGCCCCCAAAACAGCCCTGTCGTTCATGGTAGCTCTTGCAAGCAAGAGGCGTACATGTCGAGCCTCGGCAAGCGGGTTAGGGCTTCCCTTGCCCCAAAAAAAAACACGGGGTATACTCTTCCACCGTATCACACCTCCTAGATTGCTAGATGCATGTTGAATCTCATGCACTTGTTGGGTCAGCGCAGCACCGCACATTGCACCACAGGAGACGAACTATATACTTGTTAATTCGCTTGCCTAAAAAACTCATATTGACATGTTGTTTCAAGTGATTCGTCATGGATCTCTCGCAACTCCATCAACCTTCGTGCCAAAATACCACCTGGTGCACTGTGCGGCTTAGGAGGCTTCTGTCACCAATTAGCTTGCAGGCCCTAGGGAAAATCAAGCCCCGTAACGTTGGGGTTTAAGGCCTTGAATAAAAAACTATTCAAGACTGTAAGGTCGACTGAGAAGGACTTCCTGCGCGAATTCCAGAGTTTCTGCCAAGATGCGCTTCCTGCGTCAGGAATTTTCCTTGGCTTCCACAGACTGAGGGCCCAGCTCCCAAGCAGCAAATTTCTAGAAGGCGAGGCCCGAAAGTCCTAAAACCCGCAAACCCTGAAGCGTGAAACCCGAAAAGCGCGTGAACTCCTGGTTCGGGGTGCTTTCGAAGCTGATGCAAGCGACCACTCAAGATACCTGAAACTTGAAGAAGAGCTCAGTCTGGTAAAACCTGAAGGGCCAGGAAGCCTACGGCCGTGCATCCTCAAATCCTACAAGTCTGTCCCGGAGATGGTGATCGTCCGAAGCGTCTATGTGTGAAGCTACGAGAGAAAAGCCTGAGCATGACATAAGAAGTAATGGTCAGACTAGCAATAGTAAGAAGAACCATAACAACATGCACTAGTAGCAGTAATGGAGCTTACATGGCGGCGCAGAAGAGGCTCTCCAACTCAGGCCCAAGGTGACAGCCGCGCCAAAGTGCAATAGGAGAACTGGCAGCAGCCTGCCGCAGGCCCCATGGTTCGGCCAGGGTATAGGGTGCCACATTGCTTTGGGATGGTGTGAACAAGGAACTATGCTCACCATACACAGTGGAAGGTGGTCTATGTCGAGGATGGTCGAAGTTGGAATCAGCACAACGACACTGAGCATGGATTTCCTCGCTCAGCATACGGTGCAGGACCTGTCTCCACTAAGCCAAGTCCAAACTACCAAGCTTCTGGGAGTTGGGATTGGGGCTTTGAGGCTTGGGGTTTAGTTTTCAGCGCTTCCGTTGCGATGAACCTCTACTTTGAACGCATGCCACCAAACCCGGGAATGAAGGATTTCCTCAGCGTCAGAGTTCTCTAATTGTTGAGGGTTGTTGCTTCAGGCTTGTAGGGTGTGGTAATTCGGCTGGTGCGGTAGGCACACCTGGGCAAGTACGACAAGTGCAAATCCACATCTTGTCCTTGATGTGTCTTGCTAGCTGCTCGCTGGTGAGCCCAAACCCTGTACCATATGCATCCGTCTACCATATACCCATACCGCAAGCCTACATGCCGCTGGAAATTGCATGTCCACAGGTTCACACCCACACATATGACAGGATGCAAGCAGGATTGTGTCAAGGTAAGTGCACCCAGTAATTTTCAAAACGGGCATCGGGTTCGGGTTTTAGCGCTTCGGGCTGCCTTGAAGGCCTAACCAAAACATGTAGAAGCACAACGAAAAGCACACGAGAGAACTCACCGAATCTGATCCAGGAAAAAGATCAAAGACCCGGCCTCGCGATGATCAAGACCTCAGAACGGAAATAACTCCTACCTCCTGAACAGCCCTGCTCTTGAAACGAAGCCTTTAAAGTTAAACTACATTAACTACAGTCTCAGGCCTTATATACTCTAGAACTTTCAAATTCTGGACTCCAGGATGGTTCCCCCACAGAGGTTTTGGACTTGGAACGCAGAAGGGATGTGTCATGAGGCTTGAAGTTTCCCAGAAGCACACAGGCCAGGCAGTGTTCGGGGATCCGCGCTTCTCGGCACACCGCGCTGATCGAAAAAACTGACATCGGACCCGTCTTCGCTCAGTGAAAGATTGAAAGGGCAGATCGTTAGGAAAACATGAACTCGAAACTCCTGTGAACACCGCCGTCGACACGTGAGGGTGTAGCAGAATTATGTAACTCTACGCTTGAGATTTCATCCCCTACCCGTCAATCCTAAAGCCAACCAAAAGCCTGAATCCGAATCCCAGACCCTGAAACCGAAACGGCAGCAACAGCCAATGTGCAGCGCAAGGCCTTAGGAGACTTTAGGGGACGGGGCCTGGGGGGCATCTAGTATGTAATGTTTCTGTGGAATGCACGAATCGGTCTGTTGCGGCACTTGTAAATCTACAAATCACCCAGACAAGCACACAGCCCCACGACAGTCCTGTGCCATGTCCAGACATGAAGCCGCTGGCGGAATCCCAGGTCCTAGACCATGAAATCACACCCGGAATGCTACCCTTCAACTACTACAGCCTCAACCCTGAAGCCGGAAAGACCCAGAACTGCTCTTACCTGCGATCCTATATCCCTTCAACCCTAAACCCCTGTAGGCCCCATAAGCCCCAAACCCTGAACTCGCCTAAGGCCCTAAACCCCCGCTTGGGCTCCGAGCCAGCTTGCGAAGCTCATCCCAAAACTCGTCCTCCGTTTTTTTTTTCAAGCAGCCATCAAATAGGGTTCAACAATAGGGCTGACTTGAAAAAAGCTTAGAGCATAGGGGGCCTCAACAATTATGACAGGCTCCTCTTAGGGGCACCATAAGGTCCGATAATCAAGGGGCCTTCATAAATCAAGTAGGGCTTTGGGGTGCTTTGCTTGAAGCTTTTGTTGTAAGAAGGAGCTCTCAGGATGGCTCTTGGCAATCGTTCAGACTTCTACACTCTAGGGTTGAGATGTCTCAAATTGTCAGGTATAGGGTTTCTCAGGCTTTATGGGTTTTATTTCGGGTTGACGGCTTTAGGGTTTCAGGCTTGCAGGGTGTATGGGGCCGGGCTCGGGCTTACGGACGAAAAGGTGCAACACCACTATATAACAAACCGACACCCAAACTATACTGCAGCAGATCCCCGTCCTTCTTCAAAACAAGCGAGTTTTGGAGCTCCTGCAAGTCATCGTGGGCTTCGGGTTTTATGGCTTTAGGCTAGTGCCGCATCACCCCATCCCCTCGTATAACAACGGTATCATGTCTCAGTGGCATAT